TATTTGCCGTTCTTGATATTTCCTATATATTCCAAAGAGACCTTTTTTGTGACCAAAAAAGAAGTTATTTAAAAATAAAGGAATAACATAATTAATCTTATCATAGTAAGATCTGAAAAAGTTACTTATGTATATTCATTAAGTCAATCCTTCTTTGAGATGAACTGTTATTTTATTAATCGTACAAAAGTGTTGTTTGTTGTTTTTTTTTTGAGACAGAGTCTCACTTTTTTGTTCCAGGATAGATAAGTGCTGTGGCGTCAGCCTCGCTCAAGCAACGTCAAACTCCTGGGCCTCAAGCAATCCTTCTGCCTAAGCCTCCCAAAGTAGCTGGGCTACAGGCATGCGCCACCATGCCAGCTAATTTTTTCTCTATATATTAGTGGCCAATTAATTTCTTTCTATTTATAGTAGAGATGGGGTACGCCATGACACCTGGCTAAATTTTTTATTTTTAGCAGAGGTGGGATCTTGCTTCTTGCTCAGGCTGGTCTCGAATTCCTGAGCTCAAGTGATCCTCCGCCTTGGCCTCCCAGAGTGCTAGGATTACAGGTGTGAGCTACTGGCCCCAGCCCCTCATACTCATTTCTAAACACACCTTCAACTGTTTGGGGGCCGTGTCTCAAAAACCCTCCCCGCAGCTTCCCGCCTCCCTGAGGATGAGTCAGCCAGGCCTGAGGCTCCATGCTGCCCCAGTGGAGCTTTAAGAGATCTTTCTGGGTTTACCTCCCACACGGTCACTTGGCACAGGTCAGGACCAGTTCTGGGCCCTCTCACAACGTGCTGGGGAGACAGATGGGGCATAGTTGAAAGAGCCCAACTCTGGAGCCCAGGGTGCCCAGGGTTTGGGAACTGGCACTGCCACGTATTAAAAGTTCCTAAACCCTGTTTCCTTTTCCATAAATCAGGGTCAACACCTCCCTTTCAGGAAAGCAATGAGCAGGAGGGACACAGTCCAGGCCTGACCCAGGTTCCCAGTATGTGTGGCTCCCATTGCATCACTTGCCTTGAGACGCTCCTTCTGTCCCAAATTCCCTACTTTCTGTTCTTATGTGTTGAAATCTTTTATTCTTCCAGCAAGTTGCTGTTCAAATACTCCCTCCGTGCTGGTCTTCCCCAGTCAGTGCGCTGAACACCCTCACCTTCCCCACCCTACGGCCGCACCCACTCTGCACCACTCGCCGGCTTACGTGTCCGGCTTACGTTTCACGGGGGATACAGGTTCTGGCACATTCTCTTGTTCAGAGTCAATGCTTTTATGAGACAGCTGAATAAATACTATTGATTTTTCTGTGTTAATGGATGAAAAAAGGCACCAATAGTCCCTAACAATTGCTATTTCAAAAGTATTCTTTGACTTTGAAGTCACCTCCTCCTGCCGCCACTGTTCTGGCCCTTCCTCCTCATCTTCCGTCCTCTGGACACAGGCGAACTGCGCTCAGCCCTAGAGCTTCTCCTCTTCTCTTTCCTTACTCGCTCTCTAGGTTGGCATTTCTCCCTGAGTGCACTAGCTGGAATTTTGAGCATAGTAGTTTTGGTATAATAACAACTCATTATGGTGAGAGACTGTCACTTACTCTGCAGGGCATTTAGCATCTCTGGTTGCTGCCTGTTTAATACCAGTGACAGCCTCCTACCTCTGTCATCAGGCAACCACAACCACTCCCGGGCATAACCTGATGGCCTCGGGTGAAAACCACTGCTAGGAGATCTAATCTGTTCTGAGGCTTTGAATATCTGTATTCTAAAGATCCAAAATGTATCTCCCCAGCTCAGATCTCTCCTGACCTCTCAACCAATGTTGACTCACCTCACTACCTCGTCTGATAGGTCTCTCAACCTCGACTTGTCCAGAGCTCCGCCCTGGAGGTCGCCCTCTAGATCTCTGCCCTGAGTCTGCCCGATCTCCGTAAATGGCAACTTCATTCTACAAGTGCTCAGGCTCAATACTTTGGAGTTGTTCTTGATATCGCTCCCTTTCTCAGCAAATGCCTCTAGGCTCAACCTTTTCTTCTTCTTTTTTTTGAGACAGCATCTCTCTCTTTCACCCAGGCTAGAGTACAGTGGCACCATCACTGCTCACAGCAACCTCAAATTCCTGGCTCAGTTGATCCTCTTGCCTCAGTCTCCCAAATAGCTGGGACTACAGGCATGTACCACTGTGCCTGGCTAACTTTTTTTTTTCTTCTATTTTTAGTAGAGACGATCTCACTCTTGGCTCAGGTTGGTCTCGAACTCCTGACCTCAAGTGATCTTCCTGCCTTGGCCTCCCAAAGTGCTAGGATTACAGGCTTGGGCCGCCATGCCCTGACTAAGCTCTATCTTAAAATAAATCCATTATCTGACCACTTCTCACCACCTCCAGCTGGATTATTGCAGCAGCCCACTGTTTGGTCTCTGATCCTCTACCCTTGCCCACGTCCATGCCAGAGGGGTGCTATGAACGTCTCAGCTTGCTCAATACCACCACTTAGCTCAGAACCCTTCCAGGTTTCCCTTCTCTCTCAGAGTCAGATTCCAAGTTGTGAGTGTGGCCTGCAGGACCTGGCCCCACGGCACCTTCTGCCCTCATCCTTGATACTCTCCCCTCTGCTCACTCTGCCCCATCCACACTTGCTCCTCGCCCTTCCGCTGACACTCGAACCTTTTCTCTACCTGGAACGCTCCTCCGCAATTTTTGCTGACTTGCTTCCTTAGGGTATCCACTCAGGGGCACCTCCTGAGAGAGGCCTCCTGATCGCCCTTCACAGAATAGCGTCCCCTGATGCCCTCACCCTGCTTCATATTTTGTCGTCACTGTCAGGCTTACGGTGTATCTGTCTGGGCGTTGCTTATTAAGCAGAGCCTCCTGAATGGAATCTAAGCTCCACGAGCTTAGGGAGCCTTGTCACTCTGTTCTGCACTGTCACCAGAGAGTCTGTCTCATAGAAGGGCCTAGATAGTATTTACTGATGAATATTGAGACACCCAGACATACATTTAGGTAGTTGACACCTGATTATTCTTCTGTCTTTCCTGCTGCAGCCTTTCTTTCAGTAGGCTGTAGCCTACTTTATTTTATTTTGTTTTGTTTTACAGACAGGGTGTCACTCTGTTACCCAGGCTAGAGGGCAGTGATGCAATCATAGCTTCCCGCAGCCTCAAACGCCTGGGCTCAAGCAATCCTCCCACCTTAGCCTCCCAAGTAGCTGGGACTATACTGGGACTACAGATATGAGCCACCACACCCAGCTCTTTTTTTATTATTATTATTATTATTTTTTTTTTGATACGGGATCTCACTATGTTGCTCAGTCTGGTCTTGAACTCCTGGCCTCAAGTACTCCTCTCACCTCAGCCTCTCAAAATGCTGGGATTATTGGTGTGAGCCAGCGTGCCCAGCCAGTAGGCTCATTCTTGACCAGGAAGCAACCATGGTCACCAGGCAGGCCACCCAGTATCCCTGCACAACCTCCCCCAAGTACAGACTGCAGCAGCAAGAGAGCAGTCACTGGGCAGCTTCAGCTATTCAGCTATGTCCCCCTTCCCCAACAAGGAAAGGTCTCCGGCCAGGTGTGGGAATTTAAGTCTTTGCTGGTGGATCTATATTTTATCCATTTCTGAGCCTTCAGTGCTCCACCTGATTTTACCCGTGAGTCAAAACAGCTTTTACTGTGTCCTCGCCTAGCCCAAGGCAGAATTGAGGGAGGGGGATGGTGCCAGAGGCAGGCATGATGACATTTGTAAGGGGTGACAGCCTGACAGTGGGGAAAGACAAAAATGCAAAAAGCTTAGCAACCAACTTGGTGTTGGAGCAAAGCTGATAGGCCTCAGTGCACGGCACAAAGCACCCCATGGTTTTAAAGCAGTGATGATTAAGCAAGAGTTGTTATTAAGGGAAATGAACTACCCTTTAGCATTAGTGCCAGTGTGTGTCAGGTGCTATGTTAGATTCACTTACTTCATCCCGCATGGAAGTCGACGGTGACTTCTTTTATCATTGAGGAAACTGAGGCTTGTTAGAATTAAATAATGCACCAAGGTCACCTGACTCAAAGTCCTTACACATTCTTGATGCTAAAAGGAATAAGCTCCAGTTATCTGGAAAACTTGCTGATGCGGGTTGTTGTATCACTCCGTAAGTATGCTGGCTCCGTCACACGCTTTTCCTGCTACGAGCTGACTGTGTTTTTCCCTCGCACTTGGCGTGCGGGGAGCTGGTGACAACTGCAGAGATTCATTTGGCGTCTGTTGGATGTTGTTGCCTAGGATCAGCAGCAGGCCCGCCAGTCTCAGCTTGCTCAGGACGAGCGCGTCTCCCGCTCTTATCTGGCCCTGGCGACAGAAACCGTGGACATGTTCCACATCCTCACCAAGCAGGTCCAGAAGCCGTTCCTCAGGCCCGTGAGTACAGACCCCGCGGTGCTTGTTTCGTCTGTTGACTTCCACATTCAGACTCTGTCGCTTACCCTTCATATAGTTGTTGAAATCCTGGAAATTTTAGTGTCACAGTGACTGGTACGTGAAATTGTTACTGATTTTATTCCCAGTTATCGTAATAGAGATGCACAATACTCTGTTGAGAGATGAAGTGAAAATGTCTAATGTCACCACATAGTCCGTGAAGGGTCACTTCCAAGATGACTTCATTCACTTTTTGCTTAGACAGTACATTGGATTATTCGTGTTGAAATTATGACATATTTTTACCATTATGGATTCCCATATTTTAGTTATAGGAAAAGTATACAATAACATCAGTTGGGAATTGAAATATATTAAGTAGGATAATTAATAAGCTGTGAGAGCTTTGGTTCTCTTAGATATAGCTTTGTTAGAGTCAAGAAGCCAGAGGCTAATGAGAGCCACAGTTAGGGCTTATCAAAGGTCATCAGAATGTTTGGTCTTGACATGATTGCTAAGACCTGGGTCCTGCTTCTGAAAGTGAAACTGAGCAGCAGAACTGAAGATCTCTGCTCTGCTCCTGCCACCTGCCCAGGCTGGAGAAGCTTTATGGCCAGGAAAAGGGTAGCGAGGAAGGGTAGGACAGGGACAGGGTAGCGAGGTACCCTGTCATGGCCAGGACAGGGTAGTGAGGAAGGCAAGGGAGGGACCTGAGACTGGTAGTTATTTGCCTACGTGGAGACAAGTTTATTTTACATTAGAATATAATTTTACTACGTATTTCCTCCAATTTACTGTATTCCTCCCTTACCTGCATCACGTGATACATGTGTCACCTCCAGCTGGGGCATTATTGCCACACCCTGGGCTGTGTGCAGCTCAAGGAGTGAGGCCCTTTCTGTCCTTCCCTTCCCATCTCTCATATAAGCAGCTCACTGCTCAGATGTTTGCTTCCCTTAAAGGTTCACAAAATGGAATTACTTTGAACTTTCTATGTAAAGGCCAGATAGTAAATATTAATAGTTTAAAGGCATCATGAACCAATGGTCTCTTTTACAACTATTCAGCTTTACTGTTGACGTTTGAAAGCAGTCACAGACAATATGTAAACAAATAGGCATAGCTGTACTTCAGTAAAGGTTTATTTACAGAAGGAGGCGTTGGGCTGGAATTGGCCCACAGGTAATATTTTGCTGATTTCCCGCTCTAACTCAACTCTTATTTTATGTTCAATGACTCCAGTGGTGACCCTGTTTGATTGTTAGAAGATAGATTAAACTATCATACAGCCTACTTTAGTTCTAAATTCTTCAATTTATAATAGAAACTGTCAAAAGCTAAGCCTAGTATTTTCATGTCAATTAAAATTTTTAAGTCCTACTCATAGACCCGAGCCATCTATACACTGTGACCCTGTTCTTTTACCCCCAGTCTTATGGCAGTGCCTGCTTTGATGTTTCTATGCTATTTTCGCCTTCTTTACTGGCTAGCTCAAAACTCTCCTAGTTAAAAAAAGAACTACCAATTCTGTCATACCCTTATCACTCCTTGATATCACAGCTTCTCAACAATTAAATACAGGAGTACTTTGCTTTACGCAAAAGCAGATAGTTTAATACTTTAATATTCTCTAGTCTGAGCCAGATTTTCCTAATTCAGGTTTGCTTAAGGCCACAGATGCCGAACTATAGTGCGTACTGTGTCATCTTATGGGGTTATTGCATGTTATTTTGTCATTGTTTTCTAGGAGTTTCATTCAAGTTTACATTGGCTCACTGGCTAGATTTTAAACTAAATCAAGACATAAATTTTATCTTCTTCTTTTGCATTTCTTTACTCTGTATCTGATAAATAAGAATGACACATGCTGTCTGAACTGTCAGGGACTTTTGAAATTTATGGAAAAACAGTGCATGAAGCAATGGTTAGAGAAGCAGACTGAGAAACTTTTGTGACTCAGATGATGGTGGAATTTGAATAATCCTCTCTTGTACCATTCCAGTGAATTTGGAATGATACTTGTTTTTTTTTAATTAAAAGCATAAATTTAAAGAAAAGGTTGGCCTTATGTTGGTATTTATAAACACATACTCCATCACACTGCAACATTCCATTAAGCATTAGAATTACCAGATCAGAAATGGGGAAGAAAGAAAAGTGTGAATACACTGTTGTCTTCCATCAGCGTCTGATGCACAGCACATGTAAGAGATTCTTTAAAGATTAATCCAGCCAATTCCTGTTCTCCCACTGAAGTGGGAGTTTTGGTCCTTTTCACTTGTCTCCACAGCATGAATTGTCCTATTATCCTGTGATTTCCTAGGAACTTGGACCCCGATTGGCTGCAATGCTGAATTTTAATCTTCAGCAACTCTGTGGCCCCAAGTGCCGTGACCTGAAAGTTGAAAACCCTGAGAAATACGGCTTTGAACCAAAGAAGCTGTTGGACCAACTGACGGATATTTACTTGCAGCTGGACTGTGCTCGGTTTGCTAAAGCCATTGCTGACGACCAGGTCAGTGCCGTGGAGCAAGGCCCTTTCTGGGCAAGGCTGGGGTTCAGGCTGCTGAACTGGGCCATTTGCCTTCACCTCTCTGTGGATTTACTGGCAGACAATGTGCAATTACATATCTATCCATCCCTGGACTGTCCCTACGTGAAATGAAGGAAAATGATGACACTTTTCAAATTGTGATTTGAGAATTTTTTAGTATGTAATTGGAAATAGTGACCACAGGGGGAGGGGAACTTGTCTGGGGTAAAGAAAGATGAATTGGTTGTTTTCCTTTGAGTGTTAAGAGCAGATTAGGCTCCTGGTCCTTGAGTTCTTACCTCATCTTGCCAAGGGCCTTACTCGACAAATCCATTACATTCCTCAAAGAGCCCAATTTTCTCGGGAGTCCAAACCTTCTTCCCCAGTCTCCTGCTTGGTGCTATTATTGTCGTGGTCTTCCAGGGTTAAGGCCTCGTTATCTGTACACTCTTCTCTCTCCTTTATTCTATGTAACCCTGTGAGCAGATTGTTTCACCTGCTCATTTCCACAGCGACCAAGTTAGTCCAAGCTTCCTTTGCCCAGTCTCCGGGTGATTTTCTAATAATCTCATAAAGGGCTTCCCCCTCTGTGGGCGTCTGTTCTGCATCATCCTCAGCCTCGTAATGGCCAGTATTCATTAGCTGTATACCATCTTGCAACGCTTTTCATATTTTCACTAATTTATTCCTCCCAAAATCTTATGATGTAGGTTCTATTAAATTCCTCATTTTGAAATGAGGAAACTGAGGCAGAGAGAAGCTACATAACTTTCTCAAGGTCTCAGAGTTAGTTTGAGATAGAGGCAAGATTTATGTCCAGACAGTCTGGCCCTGAGCCCATATTTTCAACCTCTCTGATGTCCATTTGAAATGCCCAGAAGGTGCCATGTTTGTTTCTGTGTCTCCGTCACACAGAGACAATAAATTGTTCACACTATTTATCCAAATATTATTCATGTTTCAGGTTAAACATCATTAGGTTAAGCATCATTCTAGAAGGTTCTTTACCCATATGTCATCTAAAGGAATAATGTTAAAATAGAATTATAGGTGCTTTTTTTGATGACAGCTTTGAGCTAAAATTCACCTATGTAGGTGCTTTTTGATTTAAGCAAGAGAAGAGTAACAAAAGTGCCTGCAGTGGGAAATAAATACATACAGTCATGTGTAACATGACAGCATTTCTGTCACCGACAGACCACACATATGATGATGGTGGTTATAATGCTGTATTTTTACTGCACCTTTCCTATGTGTAGTTATGTTTCAGTACATAGGTACTCGCCACTGTATTACAGTTTCCCACTGCGGTCAGCACAGTGATGTGCTGTGCAGGTGTGTAGCCCGGAAGCCATAGCCTGGGTGTGTAAGTGCACGCTCTGATGTTCACACAACCACGAAATCTCGGAAGGATGCATTTCTCAGAGCGACGCCTGGCTAGAGGAGTTTTTCCATAAAAAGTAGTGTGGCAAATGAGGGGGTTAGGAAATTGTAGTTATTCTGGGGAGATGTTAAAATATCTACTGTTTTTCTAGCCTACAACTATATAATACTGCACATACTTAGAAGTGGAAGATAAACGGAAGTCTGTAGTGAGAGAAGGAAAGCGGAAGCGCTTGCTTACTTACCTACGCTCAAGATGGAGTCACACAGCCAGTGTCCCCAGGGAGCTCCCATCCTCACCGTGAGGGACACGGGAGTTGTTTGGCATGCTCCCCCCTCTCCCCAGGGGTCTCACTGTGGCTGCCACAAGCAGTTAACATAACACAGATACAGTCTGCAGTGTGGATGAGCACAGCACTCCCAGCGAGAAGCGAGCACTGAGCAGGTGACAAAGGAGTGCGTCAAGCTGCCTTTGCTTGGTGACCAACAAAACATTTCCACTGCCTGGCAATGCCTATGGATTGTGATGGTGGCACCTGGCTAGAGTGCAGCTTCTGCACAGTGGCACACAGGTCTCCTTGAACACCTGAACAGCCCTATTCTTCCAGACTCAGGAAGCAAACGCACGTGTCAGTGACACACGGAGAGAAAAGCACATTTTAAGCAGGGATTTTACCTCCCGTCACAGGGTGCTGTCTGTGCTGATCCTGGGGCATTTCCTGTGTCTGCTTGCTGCGAGCCGACCAGGGCCTGCCTGCTTGTTTTAGCAGAGGGTTCTGGCACAGCATGGCAAGTTGGAAGGCTAGAAAGCACCCAAGGAGAAGGCTTAGAATTTTGTTTTCTCCTTTGGAGGCAGGATCTTAGTTTGCTTTGGATTGGTGTGTCTTGTTTTCCTGGGAAGACAAAGGAAGAAAAAGGTGACAACTTTTCAAGGAAGGAAACTGAGAGGTTTCTCTCCCTATATACCAAGAGAGGCCTGAAGACAAGTTTCCAGAGGTTGACAAAAAGGTGCCCGGATGAAGAGCCACTGAGCTTGACACTCAGAAACTGAGGGGACAGTCCTCCTGTCAGAGAAATGAACCACAGAGTTGGTCCCAGGAGCCAAGAACCCAGGATGGGCGATCCTGGAGTGATTCAGGTGGCGCTGATGGCCACTGCACAGTTACAGGCAAATGCCAATGCCATGCGCAGATTTGCATATCTAGTATTCATGGAGCATTGTCTGTTAACACGATTTTCCATTAAAAAGAAGAAGAGCCCATCTGAAATCACACTTATCCCATGCAGTCTTTCCTGAATTAATTACTCTTTCCTCTAACCTCCCATAATGTTGAGTCTGCATCTCACAAATTTAGTGCTTAATTTTCTTGTTTAACTTTTTCTTTCTTTCTTTTTTTTTTATTGAGGTGAAATTCAAATTCACATAACATAAAATTAACCATTTTATAGTGTACAATCTGATGGCATGTAGTACATTCACAGTGTTCTGCAACCACCACGTCTATCTAGTTCCAAAACATTTTTATCACCCCAAAAGGAAAACCCATATCCATAAAGCAGTTCCTGTCTCTGTCTCCCTTGCCCTATCCCCTGGAAACCACTAATCTGTTTTTTATGTCTGGCTTGTTTCACTCAGCATAGGGTTTTCAAGATTCATCCACGTGAGAACATATCAGTACTCATTCCTTTTTATGGCTGAGTAATATTTCATTATATGGATTTACTACAGTTTATTCATCCATTCATCCATTGATGGGCATTTGGGTTGTTTTTGCCTTTTGGCTATTGTGACAAATGCTGCTATGAACCTTCATGTAAAAGTATTTGAGCACCTGTTTTTATTTCTTTTGCATATATACTTAGGAGAGTAGACTTGCTGGCTCATATGATAATTCCATGTTTAATTTTTTGAGGGACCATCAAAATGTTTCCTACAGCTTCTGCACCACTTGACATTCCCACCCACGATGTACAGGGCTTCAGATTTCTTCACACCCTCACCAACACTTGTTAATTTTGTGTTTGTTTCTTAAATAGTCATCCCAGGGGGAGTGAAGTGGTATTTCACTGTGGTTGTGATTTACTTTTCCCTAGTGACAAATACTGTTGAACATCTTTTCATGTGCTTGCTGGCTGTTTGTATATTTTCTTGGGGGAAATGTCTATTCAAGTCTTTTGCCCATTTTTTCATTGTGTTACTCGTGGTTTGGTTGTTGAGGTGGAAGAGTTCTTTATATATTCTGCATGCTAGATGATATCAGATAATATGAATATCATTTGCAGATATTTTTTCATGTTTAATTTTGTAACCACTGTAAGAATCCTAGAGGTCAAAAATAACATCTATGCTGCCTCTCTGATTTTTATCACACCAAACTTGCAGAAGCAGCCGAGTAATATGTGTTTGGTTGATTTACTGATGCCACTACTCTCGGAGACTGAATGTCATATCCACTTATTATAAGTACTTTCTGTGTGTATATGTGGAGATAGTTTTTCTCTGTCGCCCGAGCTAAAGTGCTGAGGCATCATCATAGATTACTGCAACCTCAAACTCCTGGGCTCAAGTAGTAATACTCCTGCCTCCCCAGTAGCTGGGACTTACAGGTGTGTGCCACCACACCTGGGTAATTTTTCTGGGTTTTTTTGAGATGAGGTTTCACTATGTTACCCAGGATGGTCTTGAACTCCTGGCCTCAAGCAATCTTCCCACCACCTCTGGCCTCCCAAACTGCTGGGATTATAGGCGTGAGCCACTGTGTTGGGCTTAATTTGTAATAATGCTCACTGCATTGATGTATCTTAGATGCCGACTTATAAGCAAGCACAAGTCAGGTGGTTAAAAATTCATCCTCTTTTGAGAAATAGAGTGGTTGATGTTTTAAGAGAATAACAAATGGTCTTAGAAATACCTACTTGTTGGCCGGGCGCTGGTGGCTCACGCCTGTAATCCTAGCTCTTGGGAGGCCGAGGCGGGCGGATTGCTCAAGGTCAGGAGTTCAAAACCAGCCTGAGCAAGAGCGAGACCCCGTCTCTACTATAAATCGAAAGAAATTAATTGGCCAACTGATATGTATATAAAAAATTAGCCGGGCATGGTGGCGCATGCCTGTAGTCCCAGCTACTTGGGAGGCTGAGGCAGAAGGATCGCTGGAGCCCAGGAGTTTGAGGTTGCTGTGAGCCAGGCTGACGCCACGGCACTCACTCTAGCCTGGACAACAAAGCGAGACTCTGTCTCAAAAAAAAAAAAAAAAGAAATACCGACTTGTTGCAAAGGGAAGTTCATGGCAAAATAGTCTCAATAGTGTTTATAGCAGCACCCACCCCAGCCTGTAGCAAGTCCCTGTGCATTTTTGCCCTTCCTACGTTTGACTATAATCTTTTGGCCAGTTATCCTCTGGCTTTACCTGGCTCATTTGTAGAATTAATATAGTAATTTAGCTTTAGAAAACCATAACTGAGGTATTCTGAAGATGAGCTTTAGGATTCTTGTCAGGCCCAGCCACCCTACTGCCACCTCACCCTGTCCTCTCTCTCTCAGGTGCATGGCTGATGAGGGCCGTGGGTGTGTGTGTGGAGAGAAGAATCGAGCATGTGCACTTATTTAGAAACTGAAGTTGAAAAAAGAAAGATGAAAGGTTGGGGAATTTCAATCCATTGCTCTAAAAGAGCACAAATACTGAGACGAATTCATGCCGTAGATGTTGGTGTGAATCTGCAGATAGAAGCGATAGGTCGCGCTGTTCAGAGCAGAAGCTGGAAAGGAGAGCAGTAGTGTGCCCCCAGGTCCCCCAGCAGTGCAGCTCCTAAGGTCAAGGGCAGAAGTTCTTCAGGCCGAGGCGAGTGCTGGAGAAGCAGGTGCTGTGCCCCCCCCCCCCAAGAACTGGACAGAGTGAGCTGGCGCTGGAGGGAGGGCATGCTGCGGGGTCCTGGTCAGCACAGGCCAGCTGCCCCCCCAGTCCTGGCCCATGTCACCCTTGCTGATTGCAGATTCGCAGTCCTCCGGGTTAGAGGAGAGACGGTCAGACCCCCACCTCTCTCCACACTAGGGCTGGGATCATAACAAACCCTGCAACGCTTGCCTGTGGAACAATGGAACTTACTTTGGGTCCAAGTACTTTGGTGTCACCGGATATGATAAGAGATTGTGGTCCTGTCATAGAGTCTCAGTCATTCCTCTCTTCTATTTGTGTCATTGTCTCTAAATCAACAAGTGGTCAGTGCTTTTTCCGTAAATGTTTTGCCATAAATGCAAAATGTGATGTATGTTGATGTTTTATAGTAGCATTGGTTACATGAATTAGGCACCTGCGAGCTAGGCATTACTACGTCCATTTCACATCCACAGAAACTGGGGCTGGGAAGAGTTAGGGATTTGCTTAAGACTATCGAGCTGGTAGTTGGTAGAGCCAGAAGTCAAGTCCAGATTTGTCTGGGTTCATGGTGGGCACTTGTCCTCTAATCCACCCCTCCTCCTCTCAGGCATAGGCCCATTCATGGTTTATCGGGGTGGTCTGATGTCAGTGGAGCCCTGACATTGGATAGTGCTGAACTAAGTGATCTTAAGGAAGGATTGGTAACGAATAGGAGAAAGCTCTTTTGAGTATGAACAATATTGGCCTGTTTTTACCGTGTTTACCTCTCTGGAAGAGAGCTGAATTTTCCACCTCCTCTCGGGGCACAGTGCCCTGCAAAGACTAGGATAGACTAGATTTCCTCTTCTTTTTAATGTTTAAACTTTAAAAGAAATGCAAGCTAGCTGTAAAAATTCAACAAACCCCATTTGCCTCGATCCTGTAGCCTTCCCCGGAAGCAATGACATCGTACACTTGGGCACATGTGATTCTAGTGTTTATGCATTTATAAGTATAAAAAGTACATAGTTTTGTGTGGTTATAAATGCATAAAGACTGGAATACATAAAATATGTAATTATGTATCATTTTAGGGCTTTTTGAGGGGAAAAAATCCACAATGGATCATTCTTGGGATATTTTCTGCAGCTTGCTTTTTCTGCCTAAAAGGTATTCATGTCTCGTGTTGCCCTTCCTTCTTTGCAGAGATCCTACAGCAAGGAATTGTTCGAAGAAGTTATTTCAAAGATGCGGAAGGCAGGGATCAAATCCACGATAGCTATAGAAAAGTTTAAACTTCTCGCGGAGAAGGTAGAGGAGATAGTGGCCAAGAACGCACGCGCAGAAATCGACTACAGCGACGCTCCGGATGAGTTCAGAGGCCAGTGGACCAGCTTTTGTTCATGCTGAATTCTTTGATTGAATTTGAACATGTAACATTAAAAGAGGATTTCCTATTCTTTTAACTTTTTAATAATGTGCTGTAGTTGCTTTTTGAGGCACTTTATCTTAAATTACGTTTGCCTATTTTTAGCTCATATTGTAAATTAAAAGGAAAAAAAGCCTCCTTAACCTGATTTCAAACCACTTAACAACCCTGAAGATTTTTAAGGCAGGGTTGCCTTTGTAAGTGAGGATTCACGTTTTCAAAGAATTCTGAGAAGTCCCAAGACAAAGGGCTGGCTGTCTTCACTGCAGAGCCCCAGGGGCCTACTGCTGGGCTATCCCTGGGTCTTTTTTCTCTGTTCCCTCCTCCCAGCAGTAGCTGACAAAAGGGGACTTTCCCTCTACAAAAGGCAGTGTGTGTGCCTTTATCCGAGGCTGGTTTCCTTCTAAACCTGGGGATCTAGCAGGGGCGTTTGATTGCCATTCCCTTGGATGTATTTTTCCCTGGTAGGAGGGGCTGTGTTTTGTTTTCTTTCTTTTTTTTTTTTCCTTTTCTTTCAGTTTTAGTCTTTATTATTAGGTCATAGTTTGCTTTGTTTTGTGTCTGCAGACCCTCTGATGGACACCCTGATGACCGACCCGGTGCGGCTACCCTCCGGCACCATCATGGACCGCTCCATCATTCTGCGCCACTTGCTCAACTCCCCCACAGACCCCTTCAACCGACAGACGCTGACAGAGAACATGCTGGAACCAGGTAGAGGAGGGCACGCCGTGAGTTGCGGTGCTGACATCAGCACCCAGAGGCAGAGCCAAACTCGTGCGTCAGAAATTAATCAAAAGGGGAAAGTTACCAAATCCAGAAACTACCTAGTTTATGACACTCTTTATGGGAAAGACACAGAATGCTCTCTGCCCTTTCTCACTGCAGCCATCTAGTCCTTCCTTTCCATGTCCCCCATCTTCTGCAGTCCTCAGCTCGGGGAGGGGATGAATGGCCTTTTCTTCCCACTTACACAGAACTACAAGCGTCATGTCTCAGGAAGAGCCCTCCCCTCTGGGGCATTAACCCCCCTGTCTTTTTCCTTTCTCAGTGCCAGAACTAAAAGAACAGATTCAAGCATGGATGCGAGAGAAGCAGAACAGCGAGCATTAAGCCGTCCCTTCGCCCACCCTCTGCCAGAAACAGCCAAGGCCAGCGAGGCGGGCAGCGGCAGCGGCAGTGCTGAAACTGCTGTGCAGACATTGGAGGCCAAATGTGGCAGACTACCCCCGAGCCCACCCAGAGCGACCAAACGCTAGAGAGCCGAAAGGACGCCACGAGAAGAGGAGCCCGATCCCTGTACATATATTTAAGTGACAAACATGGTCAAAAGCTTGAGGGACAAGCTTTATAGTTGCTTGTGTAATAAAGCACGTCCTTCATATGTCACCATTTGGGGCTTTTGCAGCAGAAATCTTTTAGTGACGGCCAGTGGGTCTGGGCAGCATCCCTTCATCTTTTTTTTTTTTTTTTTAATCCAGTATCCGTTGATTTGATTGTGATTAGAGAACTTTGGACATTTTGCTGCTAAAGAATCTTTTCCCCCTGTCTCCCTTCCTGACCCTACTTGCACTGCTGTGGATTTTTTTAAAGACAAGCAAAAACAAAAATAAACTCCTTTCCCCAGCCCTCCAAACATATATTCTGTGAGATAACTGTGCCTGCTACAAAGTGTTAATCCTGGGATCGTATTTTTATATCATATTCACATATTTGTTTTTTTAATTGGTGTTAGATGACATGATTAATAAAAAAGGCAAGATATTTTCAGAATTTGAATTTCAGTTTTTTTTTTTTTTTTCTTTTGAAATGTCCCTTTCAAATTTTTTTATTCTAAACAAAGCGAATGAAGCGAATCCTGTTGCTCTGGTCCTTATCATAAGCCCTGTTAGGAATCCAAGGAACAGTTGCAACAAAGGAAGGGTTTAGGTGTATCAGGACTTACATGACTTAGGGTTTTTTTGGGGGAGAGATGAGGGTTGGTTTTTTTAATGCTATGTGACAGTTTAAAACCTTTACAGTTATCATATAAGGGTAAATAAATTCCTCCACCCTTGAGTGTGTGAGTTTGAGGCAGGGTCATTTGTACAATGTGTCCTTTGGGGTTTGGCCTTACCAAAGCAAAAGAGGGTGCGAGGAATGTGGCAGTGTGTCTGCTTGTTTAAACACACACAGACAGACACAGCCACACACGCAAGCGCCAGACTTTTTGTATTACTGCTCCCTACTTAACATACTTGAATTCTTGAATTTCCCTTGGGGTAAAAAAGGATTTGAAACCATAAAGTGTTTTGAAGAAATTAAGTCTACAAAAACATTCTTTTTTCTTTTCCTTTTTTTCCCCCCTCCACAGACAATGTCCTCTGTTCAATTCCTAACGCAAACTACAATAAATGGTGATACACATTCAGAAGGAATCTTCTTTGAGTCTCTTATTTTTTGTTGGAAAAAGAAAGGGGGGGTGGTGGATGGGTAGGTAAAAAAGAGGCGAAGGAGTTTGCATGTGGTGAATTATCTTTTCCTGGAGCCAATTAGGAGTTGCTATTTTTAAAATAAAACTTTCGCATTTGTGTCAGCCTTGACGCTACATTTGGTTCTCATTTCACCGTTGCTGGTTTGAGGGGGCTGAGCTTTGTAAACATCTTCAGTCTCCTGCCTGTCTCAATGGTTAGGCCACCTCGAATATCTTTTCCCCAGACTTTAAGATTCCCACTCAGGTCCAGCCCATTTCATTGGCATTTTCTTAGATGCTCCAGTGTAGAAAGCTGTTTCTTCCGGCTCCTATGATAATAGTAACAATGAGGCCGGGCGCGGTGGCTCACGCCTGTAATCCTAGCTCTCTGGGAGGCCGAGGCGGGCGGATCGTTTGAGTTCAGGAGTTCGAAACCAACCTGAGCAAGAGCGAGACCCCATCTCTGCTATAAATAGAAAGAAATTAATTGGCCAACTAATATATATACAAAAAAATTAGCCGGGCATGGTGGCGCATGCCTGTAGTCCCAGCTACTCGGGAGGCTGAGGTAGTAGGATTGCGTGAGCCCAGGAGTTTGAGGTTGCTGTGAGCTAGGCTGACGCCATGGCACTCACTCTAGCCTGAGACTCTGTCTCAAAAAAAAAAAAAAAATAGTAACAATGATAATAAATAATACACTGACATAGCATTTCCTGTGTGCCAGGCACTGTGCAAGGGCATTGACGTTGATGATTTTGTCCTCTAGGAAGACTGTGCTATTAGCTCTGTTTTCTGTTTGTTTGTTTAAAGAAAGTGTGTGCTGTGGAGAAGCTAGGTAACTTGACCAGTGTCACCTGGCCAGTTAGTATAGGAGCAGGTGTCTGGGCTCCAGAGCCCATGCCCTTAGCCTCTATGTCTACTTCTCTTGAGGATATTTGAACTAATATATATATATATATATATATATTTTAGACTATAAATGAGCAAAAATAAATCCAACCATGATGGCTTGTGCCTATAGTCCCAGCTTCTTGGGAGGTTGAGGCAGGAAGATCCCTTGAGCCCAGGAGTTCAAGGCTGCAGTGAACTATGATCATGCCACTGTACTCCAGCCTGAGCGACAGAACGAGATCTCGTCTCTAAAATAAATAAATATGCAAAAGAACAACGTGAAAAATTACCCATAATCCCACCGTGCAGATAATTTTGCTAGTTTGCTTTTTACAAAACTTACATATACACCTATGAAATGATGATGTTCACAGGCATCTTGCCTGATGTTTATTCATCTCACAAGTGTGTATTGCTTTCTCCTCTCTGCTCAGATTATAAATTCTTAGGAGGCACAGATCCTGTCATATTTGATTCTCCCAGGAACCCCCCCATGAATGTAATAAGATGCTGCTTTATGCCCCCATGTGCTCTTGTCATTTTCAATATTCAGAATTCAGAGGCTTCAGGGACCTTCTGCCAGGCAGGGCAAGATGCAGCCACTCCCCTGCCTGTACCGTCTCTAGGGGGAAGATCTTTTGGATTTCTCCTTTTAGAGTCTTAAGGTTGATGTGTTTGCCTTTCAGTCTGTTAATTATGGATATTAAAATACTTCCCAAAATATTTTAAATGTAGGTCTTGGCTGAAAGGAAGATTGTCAAATAAGAAGGAGAATCTGAGAATCAGATCAGCAGAAGAGAAATGATGCTTGAGAGAAAGACGATGAAAATAACATTCATTTTGTGACTCACTATTGTGTGGGTTTTTAAAAGGAGTTGATAGGCTGGATATCTTTTGAAAAATAGCTGAGCACATTAGTTTATTCACTGTTCTTAACTGTTGGGTTTGGTACATAAAAAGAATTCGGCTGAGTGTGGTGACTCACACCTGTAATCCTAGCACTTTGGGAGGCTGAGGCAGGAAGATCACTTGAGCCTAGGAGTTGGAGGTTGCAGTGAGCTATGATGATGGTGCCGCTGCACTCTAGCTGGAGTGACAGGGAGACCCTGTCTCAAAAAAGCAAAACAAAAAAAATAGAATTTCATGGTTTTTCCAGGGCGCTAAAGTTGACGTAAATAGGCCCTATCTGACTAGTTAAGTTTTTTTTTTTTTTTTTTTTTTTTTGTTTTTGAGACAGAGTCTCGCTTGTTGCCCAGGCTAGAGTGAGTGCCGTGGCGTCAGCCTAGCTCACAGCAACCTCAAACTCCTGGGCTCAAGCAATCCTACTGCCTCAGCCTCCCGAGTAGCTGGGACTACAGGCACGCGCACCATGCCGGCTAATTTATATATATATATTAGTTGGCCAATTAATTTCTTTCTGTTTTTATAGTAGAGACAGGGTCTCACTCAGGCTGGTTTTGAACTCCTGACCTTGAGCGATCCGCCACCCTCGGCTCCCAGAGTGCTAGGATTACAAGCGTGAGCCACCACGCCCGGCCTGACTAGTTAAGTTTTTGATTGAAGGAAACATCCACAGTAGCCTGTGAGGTTGAGATTGGTGTCGACTAGCGCTGGGCTGAACGGAAGTGGTCCTGGGTTGGTAATAATAGTTTGCATTCCATGAGTATATTCTATGTGCACGCCACTCTTACATGTGTGAATTCATGTAATCCTCAGCAAGCATGGGAAGGAGATGGTGCAGTTAAGCTGGCGAGTGAATCCAGGCCATCTGGGCTTCGGAGCCTGATCTCTTCACCGCTCCTGCTGTATGGCAGTTTTCCAGAATGGTCCACGTCCAGAATAGTTCAGAATGCCCCAAGGAGAAGTGGCATAGCTTTGAAAGGGACTTTGGCCCGGGCTCCGCTCTAGACTTAACCCTCGTTTTAAATGGTTAGGTGACTTTGATCTCACAGCTTTCATTCATTACCACTCACCCTTGCCCCCAAATCCTCATCTCCAGTCCAGGCTTCCCTCCCGTACTGCACACACTGGACATCGCAGATGACCTCAGGTCTAACGTATCCAAATCTGAATTCCTTATACATCCCCCAAACCTGCTCCTCTTAGCCTCCCTGTTGCAATAAATGACAACCCCATCCTTCCGAGTTACTCAGGCCGAAAACCCTGGCGTCACCCTCGACACCTCTGTTGCCCTGTCTTCCTACGCCCAGTCTGTCCACGGTCTCTCAGCTCCACCTCCAAGATGTATCCCAGAATCCAGCCTCTGCTGCTGTCACCATGGTCTGAGTCATCGTCGGTGCCCCCCTGGGCTATCCCAGAAGCAGCAGCACGGGTCCTCCTGCCTCCCACTTGCGCTCCTTTCTCAAAACGGCAGCTGGCGTGATCTTGTTAAAGCTTAACTAAGAGAATGTCTCTTCTGTGCCCCGGAACCTCCAATGGCTTCCCAATGCCCTCAAAAGCAAAAAAAAAAAAAAATCCTTACAGTAGCCTATAAGGCGATACACTCCCCGCCCATTCTCTCTCGACAAAAGGCCTACAACTCTTCCCTCACCCCGGCCACTCTGCCGTCTGGGCCTCCTCGCTGGGCACCCCTGCCAGGGCCCTTGCACTTGCCAATTCCTCTAAAAGGCATTTTCTTCCCACAGTTACACACATGGGGCCTTCGCTTCCGAATTTGCTTTATTTATTTATTTAGAGACAGAGTCTCACTCTTTTGCCCCGGTTAGAGTGCTGTGGCGTCAGCCTAGCTCACAGCAACCTCAAACTCCTGGGCTCAAGCTATCCTCCTGCCTCAGCCTCCCGAGGAGCTGGGACTAAAGGCATGCGCCACCATGCCCGGCTAATTTTTTCTATTTTTGGTAAAGATGGGGTCTCGCTCTTGCTCAGGCTGGTCTCGAACTCCGGAGCTCAAACAATCTGCCCGCCTCGGCCTCCCAGAGTGCTAGGATTACAGGCCTAAGCCACCATACCTGGCCCGAATTTGCTTTAGGTCTTTACTCAAATATCACCTTCCCCGTCCACCATATTTAAAATTGTAACTTAATCACCCAAACTTGCTGTCCCTTGCCATTCCCTTTCTTTGTACTTTCTCCTTAGCATTTATCACTATCTCACATCCTCTGTTGTTCACTTGTTTCATTCACTAGAATATAAGTCGGGTCCTCAGCAACTAGAACAATGCCTGGCACACAGTAATGCTCAATAGATTTGTTGAGGATCCAGGCGCGGTGGCTCACGTCAATAAGTCCAGCACCTTGGGAGGCTGAGCAGGGAGAATTGCTTGAAGCCAGGAGTTTGAGACCAGCCTGGGCAACATAGCAAGACCCAGTCTCTAAAAATTAAGTAAAATTTTAAAAATTAAAGTTTTTAAAAAAATTATAAGTATTTTTTGAATGAAGTAATCTCTTCATATATTTGTCATTCCAGTTGTGTCAGTTATCTATTGCTGTACAACAAAGTCACCATAAAAATCGAGTGGCTTGGTAAAATAACAGATATTTTCTCTTCTTGTGGTTCTAGAGGTTCTAAGAACAAAATTCCAAGACAACCAGACAGTAACCAAGCTGTTACTGCCTTTTACAACCTAGGCTTAGAGGTCACGTAGTGTCACCTCCACCTAAGTCACAAGCCTGCCTGGATTGAAGGGGAGAGAATGGAGAACCCAGCTCCCCATGGCAGGGATGTGAAGGGCACACTGCTAAGAAGAGCATCTGGATAGGAGATATTGTTCTGACCATCTTGCAAAATAAGATTGGCAACATCCCCCCCACATTCTGGCAACAATTTATATTCTTCCTACCTGCAAAATGCATTCATTCCTTTCCCCAAGACTCCCAAATTTCATCTCAGTATAGCATCATCTTGAAGTCCAGCACACTCCTCATTCAAATCAAGTCTACCGGTAGGTGCAGATGAAACTCCTTGGATGGGATTCTTTGGATCTAGTTCCTTGAGTGCCAATCCTTTGAATCAAAAGATCTTTTATTTTTTTTATTTTTTTATTTTTTTAGATTTAATTAAAATATTATTTTTCATACTTTTTTCTTTTTTACTAAAATTTGTCTACAGAATCAA